GCAAAAAGCATCACAACAAGTGAACAAATTAAGCTACAGGGATAAATCATACATCAAATTAAAGCTCAATGCAAGCTCTACGGGGCCAAATGAAAATTGTTTACTAAAACCTCTCATAACACTCCATAATAGGGCCCTAATGCCCAAAAACCTGCCATTATTGAGTGAAAATTATAATGTCTGCCGACTGGAAAAAAATTCATATAAAATCAACACATTGTGCTACTAGGTTGCATTATATATCAAATAAAAGCTCTTTTCAGGCTCTGTACAGTGAATCAGTTTATAGAAAGAAAAAAACCTTCCAATCATTTCAGATATGGAAAATAATGTGAAAAAAGTCATCAATATTGGTTCAGAAAATTAAGATTTCTGCTCAGGGGGTTTAAAAATTGGAATTAAATCAACATACTGTTCTACCGTGGTTCATCTTGTATAATATAGATCTAGATCTAGTTCTAGATATATTTATCATTTTAGCTGAGAAAGAAACCAGTGGCTGGGGAAATACAATGTATCATCGTGTGTCCAGTAAGTGGATGGAAGAAAGAGTGTGGGGGGGGGGGGGGGGGGCATTCTCCAATTAGCCTATCAGGTGACATCGAGGTCTAACTAAGCCTAAGAATACGTAAAAAGGCTGGTTGATTCAATAATTGAATATCCACCAATCAAGAACGTAGATCTAGCCTTTTTTGTTACCGAATTAAATGCCAAACAATACAATAGATCTACGAACATTTCCATCGGTAACACTAACACCCGGTAACCCCCTTCCGAGTGTTTAGTAGTGTGTGATGACATGTTACTATAAATAGAACTCCCAGTTCAACTCTTCGCGGCTTTATTTTTTCACTTTGTCGACCAGAGATGCTTAGATTTCGATGCATTTAGAATAAATAAGATGTTCTTAGTTGAAAAGACAGCAAAAATACCACCACGAAGCGATACATTTGAATAGATCGCAATTAATTCACTATGAGGTGGGGAAAATGTAGGTCGGCGTGATTCCCACCAAACATTAACAATCCAACCATACGGCAAGTGGTGGCCGATTAGTCTTATTTTTCAAAACACGATATTCATAAGTATCCTAAAAGAAAATTATGATAATACTTACATAAATTGACGTCATAAACAAATCTATCGAATGTTTCTTTTACTGAACCATCATTATAATCGTCTGCTGGTTGGGTTAGGTCAGAGGGGGTGGAAATGGGCAATGGAACAGCTGCAATGGCAGAATGACGATCTCCCGAAAGTGGTTGCTACCCCACTTCAGAAAAAGTAATATTTCTACTTCGTGGAACGTAGTTGGCTTTTCTAAACACATAAACTTGATGGTAGAGATGTCTGGGAATATGATTCTGGCACGGATAGCCCGATTTGTGTCGAATTTCATATTTTAAAATGTTTTCTTCGTCTTTACATCGTACCACTCAAGCTTTCGGCTCGGAATAAAAACATAAACACATTCCCTGGAAATTCTCCTGAAATCCCAGATTTTTATGTTTCAAACCGCAAGAAAATTCGATGATTCACGACTGAGAAATCGAAATTTAAAACAAGTACCCCCCCCCCCCCCCCCCCCCAAATCTAAGCGCGCAAAATTGCGAGACGGCCGAGTTTTCACGTGTTAAACTTTAGTCAATTAAAAACTAAATATGCAATCATAAGTATCAGTTTCTCGTTCACCATGGAGAAGGAAAGACACAGAAAACAGTGGTATAATTTTTATTAGTGTTTACAAAAATTAAAACCAGCTAATAGTTGGATGAAGTTGTCCAAATCTGGCTCCAGCCGTAGCTGTCTGCCTTGAAAACGGCTCGCCTGCGGTACCTACTCTAACCACGTATCAGCCAAATTAGTTAAATCTCTTTTTTGTCTCAATACTTATATTTCACAACAGTAATTACCACTGGTATTTCTAAGATGTGTAAGAAGAACATCCTGTACAAAATTTTGGGTGATTGTGGTGGAAAAGGATTATGGGCTACTTTTTTCCACTTTTCTGAAAATGAATGTTAGGCATGTACGTGATGTATGAGCTTAATCATTAATGCCCATGACACATATTTATTTTTTTTATTTATGAAAGCCATTGTCACTGAAACCATTGTACCCTAAATGTTTGCTTGTAAGGGAGATTTTAATGGAAGTTGTCAATTTTGTATATTTTTAATTGATCATGAAATTGAAAAATTGAAACTATAAAATTACCCCGTCAAGTTGCACTTAACGTTGAACTGATTGAAGGAAAAACAGAACAGATTTTTTAATATCATATCATTGTGCTTGTTGTTACAAAAAATCATTTTCCTTTAGGTTGCTTGCATGTCCAGTATACTTTTAATAAGTATTTATTGATTTATTTTTTACTAGGCAAAGAAGGCACCTCAGATTTCTTGGAGTCATTCAAACAAGAACGACAGAAATTTATGACTTTGAAGAAAAAGCAAAGTAAAAAGGGTGAAGGCAGGGAAGAACAGACTCTAGCTTTGCTTGCCAAGTTTCAATCCAAACTGACGTCAGCCAAGCAACTGTCTACGGGCTATTCCGACTCCGAGGGTGAAGAAGAGAAAAAGGAGGATGACAACAGTACTCTTGATGACAGTGGGGATATTTCGTGGTGAGTTTAGTCTGGCTTTTTGTGGTGGTGATATCATGTAAAAGCCTATTCCAAACTATTAAAGTTACAAATATATACAGAGATGTAAATGTTTCAGATTTCCTTTGATTTCAGACTTTTAAACCCTTCCTGCTTTAAAAAAAACAAACCCAACCCAATAATGAAAGGAGAGAGTCCGGAAGAAATCAATAAAAGTAAAAAGTATTTTTTAAGTTTCCCTAATGTTAAATACTGGAACCAAATAGCCTTTGCATTTGTAGAAGTGACAGCTTTTTGGAACTCAAAAATAAAATCCTTCCTTTTGAATGAATTCACCTTTGTTATGTTAATGGTATGATAAGTACTGGACAAATCTCAAAATACAAAATCCATAGATTCTTTAAAAAAAGCTTTAGTTTTTTGCAAATACAGTGGAGTCCACTTATAACGAGTCCCGAAAAAACGAGAAGTCTGTTATAAAGACACTATTCTAAAACAGCGTTTTTTTCTCCTTCTTTATCTTTGTAAATAAAATACTGCTATTGCGCAATCAGACCGTCACGCGAGTCGGTTATAACGGAATATTGCTGCTGCTCTACACAGCGCACAGACCAATTAAACATATTATAAAACCTTGCCAGTTGAGAAAGATGTTGGTGATCCAGCGAAATTAAGAATGGGAGAGCCCACGCGAACCAACAATGAAGGCCGGAGCGAATGAGTGGGGAGGGAGTGGCATCAGACAAGCAGAACGCATCGCGTGATAGGCCAGCCCAGTCTAGATTGTCTAGGCATACCATGCCTCTCACTTCTCTGGTGCGAGATGGAGAGGTCACAATGCTGTGATAGATGGAGTGAATGTGTGACGTGCGCAAGCAGATGCAACGCACCACAGGGTGTGGTGGGGTGGGACGACACAGCGGGCGAATTAGCCTAGAGCCTGAGCCTCTTCTTTCTGATCGCCAACGCAAAGCTGTCAACATTGCTAGTGCTAGAGAAAGAAACCTAATTCGATTTTTGATCAAGGAAGACCTAGAGATCACGTTGAACAAATCATCATCAGGGGAAATACAAAAAGGAATAAACAGAACTCCAAACTCATAGATTAGGCCTACTTTACTATTTCCTTTGAATTTATTACTGGATCCCTTGTAACGAGAATCCTGCTATAACGGACATTTCGCACCGGTCCCCTCCCTCTCGTTATAACAGGATTCCACTGTTCTTTTATTTTTGGTCTTGTTTCTTAGTGTCTGTGCGGCTTTTGAATGAATCCAATAGGCACCTACATATTTCTCCAATGTACATACTTGAAGATATCTGATTAGCTCAATGCCTTTATTATCTTCATACCCAGACCCCCTGTCTATTTTATAATAGTAATATAACAGGTATGGAGATACGTCTGGACACAACAGTGGCTGCGTCAAATGAGCTGAATTTATTTTTTGTGCCTTTGTATGTTGCCAAATTTTGTAGACTCAAATGTTTGTGTATTTGTGTTCAGTGGAACTCAGATTCAACGAGGTCGCCGGGCCTGACCTAAAATCTCGTTGAATCTGAGTGATCATTATAGCGAACATGAGGTTTTGTGTTGATGATTACAGACATTGAGCAAGTAATGTATAAAGAGAAATAACAAATGGTGCCTGAAATGCCTGCATATTATGAGCTGTGCAAAAAAAAAGACTGATTCGTTCAAATGCACACCACCTGTGTCATCTCCATTGTTTGCCAAAAAGTTGTGTTGCTGTGTAGGGCCTAGCATACGGTAACTTTTGATTCCATAGACCAGCACACAATTCATTACGTAGATCTGGGTCAAAGACTAGTTTATCATTGTAATAGTGGTCAGTTGCCAGGGGGAAAAAAAGACTGATGTATTTGTATCTGCGACATTCCGCGCCCGGACCGCACACACTGGAGTAGACACATGCGCGTGCCAACAATGCATGTGTTGGTGTGGAAGAAGGCCGCTGATTGGTCGCATGCAATCAGCTAAGTGAATAATGGTTCACGATGCAAGTGCAATGGATGATGTCCGGGAATAGATAAAATTCATTGTGGGAGAGAAATGAGCGAAGCCACATCTGCGGGGACTGTTCACCCTGGAAGTGACCTCGTTGATTTCGAGCTTGCTGATTTAAGTGTTCGTTGAATCCGGGATATTTTTAGTAATTTTTAAAAAGAAAAAAAACACCTGGCAATTCATCTCCTTTCGTTGAATCTGAGCTCTTGTTGAAGCCGAGCTCATTGAATCTGAGTTCTACTGTATTTAATTTTACTTTTTTTTCCTCTTGTCAACAGGATGAAGCACAAGCTGCAGTTTGACGAATCAGGGAATAAAAAAGTTCTGGATGCTAATGTGACAGACAGCGATAGATATGAGATTTATGATCCCAGAAATCCTTTGACTCAGCGCAGAAGGGAGTCTAGTAAGAAGAAAAGTAAACAAAAGTAATCGGGAGTGGTTTTGTTATTTCACAACATGGAAATCACTCTGAGATCGTTGATTCGCTCATTGTGGCCAAGACTGATCTGACACCTTCTACTTCTAATGTGAAACGATGGTAATTTTATCCAGTTTTTATTTCAACCACTCTTCCCTAACAAGCTATATTTTTCCTGGATCTTTGCTGATTTGATGCTGCTTTTGGCCAATATCTGTACAGCATTCCCTGTGCGCATGTATCACTCAAAGCCTAGTTTTTAGAAAGTAAAAGTAAAAATTTGTTCCGCATCTGATCTAGACATTGGGGATTGCCTTGTTAATGAGACAACTTCCTGGGCCTTCGGCATATTGTGGTAGGGTGGCCAGTTCCTTTCCACGCCGGCTTTACTTCCCACACTCAAAGTGAGGTACCCTTTACTGCTGGGTGGGCAGGAGAAGGACAAAAAAATCTGTGTCCGAAACCCGGACTTTCCGCTTCGGAGACGCGTTTTAGAAAGATGCTCACATAATCCAAATCTTGCTATGACCAAACCAGAGTGGGGACGGAGCCTCTTGCCACGTTTTTCCTGTAAATGGTACTGATGGCCATGCCTGGGAGAGGTGATAGAAACATGCTTTGGACTTGAAAGTAACGAAAGGAAAGCCAATTCACTGATAGGTTGTTTTAATTGGTCGCTTTTAAGGACATGCGGGCTAACCCAGATTTCGGGGGTTACCAGAAATCTTGACCTTCGCCAAAAGTGGGCAATACCCTGCCTATAGGCGAAGTTTAGTTTCATTGGTGTGTATATTTTGTTTGGTTGTAGAGAAAACTCACCTTGTCTTTTAAAGAAACTGAATGAGGGGCAAAAACTTTACCTTCCATTTTCTCAATACAGCATTTTTCGGGATATCCCCCTTGTGCTTAAAAGCGACCAGTTATGGTCTGAGGATTTAGCATTACGTTTTTTTGTGTTTGGAGTATATTTGAAGTTGAAGGAAATTTCAGCTTAATTGATTTTTTTTTTAGTTCTAACTGGATGTTAAAGAAGGTCATAGTTGAGGCTGTGAGAATAAAATATGTTATGAGTTCAAATGTGATTGTTTTATAGTGTGAAGCTCTGTCTAATGAAAGCACTCTGAATTTTAGCTTCATGGTTCTTTATGTAATGGGTGGGGGTTGTTATATGTGTAAAAATAAATGATGTGTGTTCCAAAATTCCAGTAGATTGGATGAGGTCACCAATTCTATTTTGATTTGATTTCTTTAAATAATGTGAGAGACAGTGTCAGTGCATTATTATTTGCAAGACATCAAAGCTCACCAACATAGTTTCAGAATCATCAGTGTTTTACTGTACAATAGTATTAGTACAACCTTTTAATTGTCCTTATTTTCTCATTGTGAACCATTTTAGGGGTTTTTTTAAGCCAATGACAAGAGCAGTTTGTATGTGTTTTTGTCATCCCTCTCCGCAAAAGAAAAGAGATCTGGGCTGTTACCTTTAATAGATGATTGAAGTGGAGTCTGATTTATTCTCCCAGTTTTGACAGTACCTGTTAATTTATTGTCTCAAAGATGGGGATTTCCCTCACTCTCTGATTCTCTGTATCAGAACAGTGTCAAAAATAGAATGGTTCAAATTTTTTTAAGTTGAAAATTTGTGTAAGGAGATGTTTTTTGCTTCTGTACGGTATTTCTTTCATTATTGACTTACATTTTTTGTGTGAATAAAAGTATTTATAATACTGATGATATCTTTGTGTTTACATTTTTGCCTGAAAAAATAATGTACACATGGGTGGTTGGCGGGTGCTCTGGTGTGGTCTGCTCCTTGTTTCCTATCAAACATCTATCGTCCTGATCTCTCCTCCTTTTTTGTGTAACACACCTCTTTTCTTCTGCACTTATATGGTCTTATTGTGTTGTTAGTGCCGTGAAACTCTTATTAAAACATCATGTACACATTCCTAGTACTAGTACTGGTATTGATTGAGAGTAAACGTTTCTACTATGCTTGTGTTGAGGATTAACCTGCCAAATAGTTGTATTGCTATTTCGACTCTCTAGGTGCTGAAGGATTCTTTGACACTTTAATGATGTTGTGAGTGTTTCCCATTGTAAAAACAATCTCCGCTGTAAAGCATCCATGAACAGGAAATGAAAATTTTATTTTATTATTATTTTATTATTCGTTATTGGTATTAAGTCCAGAAAAACTAATGCACACCAGTTGGCCAACATTTCAACAGTCCTGGTCACAATGGAGCCTCCGATTTGCAGCTTCAGGGTATTGAAATAGTCCAATGTCCAACTAAAGAAAAACTCAACCAAAGAGAATCAATGTGTATTTGGAACTTGGGGTCTCACAAAATTCTCACTGGCCTTAACATCGACCAGCCATATTTCAAGGACCTTAAATATACAACGTAAGGTACTAATTACCCCATGTATTCCAGTAACCCCCTCCATTTGGCCCTGCCTTTCCGTATTCATTACCTCCACGCACTTGTTTCCCTTACAACTTGTCCCCGCAGAATTATGCAAATTTAGATAGCCAAATTATGCCCCCAAAAATGCAAAATTATGCAAAAATTATGCAAGTTACTGTAACACCATTTGCGACATGTTTTGCACTTTTTCAACAAGGACTTTTATGTTTTATGTATAGAAAAATTTTTAACAGAACATATCAGTATCAGTAATTTGTTGTGTGGAAAGAAAACAATACACATCAGTATCAGTCAGAAAAAAAAACAACCAAAAAAATATAATCTCTGTAACTTTCTGCTGTATGTCTAGATCTAGATAGACTACAGAGGAAAGAAAAACGTTTTAAAAAAATAATTTTAAGGACATCTGGACCTCTGATACTGCCACATCACTAAAACCAGGGACACCTGTCAAACATGAAACACCAGCAGACATGAGAACAACTTTTGATGGATTGAAAAATTGAACACATACTCAAGGAACAAAATCCCTCACCCATATAAGCATTAACTTTAGATCTTCTTCTAGCAAGGGAAATAACCAAATTATCACTTGAATTCGACCAAAGATAGTCCTAGCCTTTTCATTGTTCAATTCAGTCCTCTTGGGTGTTCTGTCTGTTCTTGCTTTTTTGGAAATGTATCGTTTACTGCGGGTCGATAGTTGAAATTCAGATGTCAGTGGTAGAAAGTTTGTCATATATATATGACTTTGCTCTCAGCACTTCAAACCTGATGTACCTTTGACACGGGCTGGAAGATTTATGGTGCCCACAGATTCTCAAACAATACTTTCACTTTCAGAACTACCTCCATCATGTTGTGGCACACCAGCTCCAAAAAAAAAGAGAGCAACTGCAACAAGTTCAGCTTCTTCTAGAGCTGCTGATATTGATAAAATGAATATATTTAAAGACAGAGATGTCTTCAAGTTCGATTCATTTTATCAAACAATGGAGCCATTGGGAATGTTGCAAAGAGTAAAGATTATTATAATACGTTTGACAATGACAATGACAATCTTTATTTATCTCGCAGGGAGAAATTTGTCTTGGTCGTTAACAATGGCAGTAGACGTTACAAAAGTTAGACTTAAAGGTGCACTCACGCAAACGCACAACAAGACAGGACATTAGGCCAAGTAAATATATGTCTCACGGGCTGGGACAACCCGCTCCGTAAAACATTCAGATCTCTCTCTCTCTCTCTCTCTCTCTCTCTCTCTCTCTCTCTCTCTCTCTCTCATTTGTAGCACTGTGTGCTCAGTAACCTCACTGCAGTTGGTACGAATGAATTTCTATATATATCTCATCTGTCTGTTCTTGCTTTTTTGGAAATGTATCGTTTACTGCAGGTCGATAGTTGAAATTCAGATGTCAGTGGTAGAAAGTTTGTCTTGTGCAGATATTCAAAGTTACTAATTAGGTCTCTACCAATTGTTCTTGATGCCTTTCTTATCAACTTGTTTAGTTTTATAATGTGCTGCCTTCCCAGATTGTTACCATAGCATGTGATACCAAAATTTATCAAAGTTTCTATTGTGGTAGTGTAGAAAATCTGAAGGATGGATGGATTCAGTTTCAGATTGAAAGACTTTAGTTTCCTCAGAAAGTACAGCCTCTGATTTACATTTTTAACGATATTGTTTACGTGGTTTTGCCATGTAAATTTGTTGTCTATTGTAAGGCCAAGATATTTGTATGAATCCGTGATTTCAGTAGTTTCTTGTTCAATTACGAGTGGTGGGATTGTTGGTTTTTCTCTTCTAAAATCAAAAATCATTTCCTTTGTTTTTGAGAGGTTCACTTTTAGAAAATTTGAGTTGCACCATTTAAAAAACCTACATATTTCTTCGAAATACTCTTTTTTCATCAAGGTTTATTAATCCAATAATAGCGGAGTCATCTGCAAACTTAATTAAGCGTGTTGTTTTATATATTATACTTCTATGATCGTTGGTATATATAGTATACAAAACTGGTGACAAAACACACCCCTGAGGACCGCCGGTGTTACAAAGAATTGTGTCAGATTTTGTGTTGTTTCGCTTCACATATTGTGGTCTACCTGTCAAAAATTCCAGGACCCATGCTGCGATATGATGACTAACTCTCAGACCCAGAAGTTATTCAATGACAATATGCGGTTGAATTGTATTAAATGCTGAGGAAAAAAATCTACAAAAAGTACCGTCGTATACGTTTCAGATGTTTCAAGGTGTTTCAAAGTTTCAGTATAGAGTCACAAAAAACAAGTACAGCATCTTCTACGTTCCTCTCTTGTTTGTATGCAAACTGGAATGGATCTAGATTTCCATGAACACAGCCTAGAATATTAGAGAGGATCAATTTTTCAAGGCACTTGAAAGCAATGGATGTAAGAGCGACTGGTCTTAAGTCATTTAATTCATATATTTTAGGCTTTTTTGGTATTGGTATTATCACCCGCACCAACGCACTAGTCTATCGCCGCTTTTCGCATTGACCCTCCGGGAACGCGGTAGGCCTCCGAGTCCAATGCCGAGGCCAGTCGTGCGGGCTGTAGGTCTGAAACTGAGAAAGCCAAGGAGCTGTAGAATTCTGTGGCTTCTTCTACCCAAGGACCTTGTAACTTCCTTGCTTCTACCCAAGACATAATAATATACCATCTACGCTATATAGGCCTATAATTTGTTCACTTTCGTCTGACCGCGTTAAAAAAAAATTGTAGCTCATTCAGGAATTTACCTAGGCCTACCCCCATGAAACTTTACATGGCACTTGTGCGGGCCAGTGACCAGTGACCAAACAAAGATATGTTTTAAAAAAAAATCTTGATCCTGTTCTAAAAAAGTTGTTCTCTTTGGGCTCTAGTAAAAACCACTCTTTGGATGCATACAAATTGTTTATTTTGAAACAGCGACACCACCCCACCTTTCAGTGTAAGCTTGTTTGTATCTCTAAGATTTCATCCTCAGGCTGTCTTGATGACTTGACGTCTCGAGTCTCGAAATTATTCACCTCGTCTCTTGAATCGCGTTTCTTTGGCGAACGTTAAAGTTAAAGTGTGGTGTTGAGGAAAATATGTCAACTTTTAAATGTTCTAGGTTTCTGTTGTCAATCCCTTACTTTAAGCTTACATCAAAGAAAACGTGTTGGAACCTTAGTTTGCAGTTTGCAGTGACATTTTATGAATGGGCTTTTAGATTTTGTTGGTCACTCCACTTTTAGACCGGCATGCAAAGACCCAGAAAGATTAAACAGAGCGTTTAAAAAAAAATTCCGTTTTAACAGCGGCTAGGCCAGACGAAAGTGAACGAGCTAGATCTAATAATACAGGCCACAGGCCTACCCAGAGACCGTAAATATATTTTGGGCCTACTCCTACTCTACTACCAAGCCAGTCATCGATCGAGTTATTCCCCGTCTCTCTGGCTCACGCCGGTAGAAAAAGACGCCACCGCTGTTTCACTGGTTGGCCGTCTCAGTCACGTGACACAATGTGACTTCAAGCATTGGTGCGGCGTCTCTGCAAGGCCAAACGCCTCGCTCGAGTATTGCCATAGCGGCTGCAGTATTAGGTACCCACAAAAGCCGCTAAAAGCATAATAACGAGTCTTCGTGTGGATCTTCTTGGCTGCATATTATGCAATAAGGCCAACTGTTTGACCGAACTGTGTCAGCAACGATTGCTTTAAATTAGTGACTAGATCTACAGTATAGGCCAATCGTTCATTATGCTGTTTTCATATTTTAGCGATCAACACGATAAATCAATTTGAGGAAAATACGAAAAATAAAAAAACAGAAAAACCAAATACGATCGGCATCAAACCTTTGTGGTCAAATTTACAAATTGGCAAAGTAGCCTAGGCCTAGATCTATATGACGAGTGCGAATTGTAAGTAGAAAATGTCTAGGCTAGTTTTTATTCTTATGGGCTAATTGCATTTATGTATACTTCATGATAACCGATGCTTAGTATAAAATAGTAATTGCCAGTAGGGTATACTAATGTCAATAATTGCAAATAAATCGAATTAGTTGTAGTATTAGTTTTTTCTTATAAGGTTAGAAAGCCTAAACATTACATTTTCGAATGCAGTACCATAAATATCGTCACTTACACATTGTGGTTGTACCAGTGTGCTATACATAAGTGAATGTGTGTGTCATACATGTGTGTGTGTGTGTCTGTGTGTGTCTCTGTGTGTGTGTGTGTCTCTGTGTGTGTGTGTGTGTGTGTGTGTGTGTGTT